GCTGCCGGGCACACGCACATGGTCAACCGGCACATGCCCGCCCCCTGTGCGCGCTGCGACCCCGTGCTCCGCACCGCGGCGCGTCCGTTCGTGGTTCACCCTCCACCTGGCGAGTGATCGCCAGAGGGCAGGGGGCACGCGGGTGCGGCACCGCCACCCACCACGACGCACCGGCGCCGCCCGGGCCTACCGACGATCTCTTCTCCGGCGACCGATCGATCCCGCACAGGGGCCTGTCGCTCGGCCAGCCGGGCTGCACCTGCACACACACACCCACCGGCGGCCACGCGTTCCACGCCATGTTACGCACAGTCCATGGGCCGAGCACGCACAGTGGCGGTACACATATAGAATATCTTTTCTGCCGGGGACCGCGGCCGGGTAAGTAAAATCCCTGGCCTGAAGATCAAACAAAGCTTTTGGAAGAAGCTTATTAAAAAGGGGTCCCAGGGAATGATGGGAAGTGCGGAAGCAACCGTGGCCGCGGGTAAACGCCTAGCTAGGAGAGGACCAGACCCAAGGCCAAGGCCAAGGGGGCACGCACGCACGACACGATCACTGCACATGGTACGGCGCCATGCCATGCCACCCGGACCCGGCCGATCTAGAAGGAGTCAGTAGCCTGACAGGATCAAAATAAGCAAGGCAGCATCATGGTAAACGCAGGCACCAACATGCGCTGCAATTTGCAGGACGCCAACCGCGAACGCAATCCCGACCGATTAGTTATATGGGAATCCAAGGAAACCCCGGCCCAATTATAGGGGCTCGCCTCACTCACTCGCCGCCACAAAAATCCAAGGAAACCGAGCACAGCAGGCAAGCCTGTTTTGCTTCCAGAGAAGAGGAGAGCGTGCTCGTGCAGGGGCGCTCCGAGAGCCAGCCCCGGGCCCGACCAGGAGACCATCGCCTCGCCCTCGTCCATGTGCTCCGATCCCAATGCCGTATTGCCATCCATCCACTGATCCACACAGGCACACAGTAGCATGGTGTACAATATGCTCCGCCATGCGCCCGCCCCTTGCTTTTCCGGTTCTGCACTGGATGCATGGGCAGGCAGCCATTTTCACATCACAGCTTGGCTTGCAGCTGCAGGTACAACCGCGTTGGTTGTCTCCACTCTGCTTTGGCAGCTAAAGCCAAGGCCAGTGGGCACACCGGACGACGGACTGGACAGCAACATCAACGTGCGGCTCCTCCCTCC